CTTACGTCCGTAAATTCGTTCTTGTATCTTCTATTTTTTTATCAAAATGTCGTATTGTCTAACAGGTAGGGTTTGCAACGTTAGTACATTATTTTCAACAGTATAAGACATTATAATAATTGAATATCAATTCATTATAAATTTAAATACAATGAATAGCGACATCTCTAGCCGGGACTGGTACGAAATACTTTCATAGATTTCCCATAGATAGCGCTACGGCTAAAAAGTCGTTGAACAATAAACCAAATACAAAGATATGACGATAAACACATGGAAAAATTCGTGAGGTCAGGTGGTTAACTTAATATAGCATCTGGCACGGTTTACTAGAAGACATCGGTTCGAATCCAAACGGATCGAAGGATTTTTTTCAGAGTGTTTGATTTTTGTATTAACAATTATAACAAACTAGTGGACTAATTTCACATAAAATAATTGAATATCAATTCAATATAAATTTAAATATAAGTATTTTTTTTATAAAGTTTCGATGAATGTTGTATCATCATATATCATCTCACACATCAATCATCTAATCAAGATATATGCAAAGACTCAATCAAAATAATAAAGGGATCTGAAACAAATATACTTTCTGATAAAACTGCATTGGCAATGCATGATAAGATGTTGTAGGCGATTTGCACGCTGTTCAAATCAAGTCACTAATAATGCTCTTCAAGGCGTATTATCGGTCCATATACATATATGTCCTTGAAATCATTGATCACACATCAAATATTCTAAGCAAGCTTACAATGTCATCCGCGTTCAATACAATGATATATTTCTCCTCTCTTCCTTTCTAAAGCCCTAGAATTCGCCGTCCATAAACAACTTATTCTTACCTCACCTTCTATAACCTTTTATGTCCGTTACAGTCTGGCTTTCGTCCATCTCATAGCACTGTTGGAGCATTACTGAACATTACGGAAGACATACGTCGTGCTATGGATGATACGACGGATGGACGATACGGCTCACTGTCATTGCCCTCTTGGATTTCAGCAACGCATTTAACTCTGTTGACTTTGACATTCTCCTTGGTGCCCTTCAGGCGGTTAATATCCCGTCTTCTGTTTTAAGTTGGTTCTCTTCTTATCTTTTCATGGTCGCCAACACTATGTGAAAGTCAATAATGAGTTGTCATTTTGGTCTAACTTAACTGCTGGTGTGCCCCAAGACGGCGTACTCTCTCCCTTACTCTTTTTCATTTCCTTCAATAATATTTCCTGTGTCATTTCTGCTCCCATCCGTCTATATGCTGACGACCTTCAACTCTATGGTAACTTTTCGGTGGGCGAGGTATCTGAAGCAATTGCGGCCATCAATTTTGTTTTGTCTGCCATACAGTTATGGGCTAAATCATTTGGCCTTTTAGTTAATCCCGCTCAATTCAAGTCTCAATTCATGATTGTAGGCAGTAGCAGATTAAGGTGCAAGTTGGATTAGTCATCGGTACCTTAGTTTTGTAGCGTTAGTATATGATGGAACTGGTATTGCATATACTAACAAAGAAAAAATCTAGGGCTAGTAATGGACTGCACATTTTCTTGGACTTCTCATGTCAACGAGGTTAGCAGACGAATGCACTTCTCATTTCACTCTCTCAAACGACTCCAATACTTTCTCCCTTTTCATACCAAAATTGTGCTTGCGCAAATCCTTCTTCGTCCCATACTCGACTATGCCGACGTTTGTTATTTAGATGTGACCGAAGAGCTTATGAATAAACTAGAGCGCCTACAAAACTTGACTACCCGATTTATTTTCAGTCTCTGTATGTTCGACCGCGTTTCCGAATTTCGGCTTGCTTAAAATGGCTCCCAATTCGCCTTCGTCGTGATGGGCAAATCCTATCCATCCTTTTTAACATACTTCATGACGCCGATTCCCCTTCCAATCTGTGCTCCCTGTTCCTGTTGCTACCCCCTCCCACCCGTTCAAGGCGTCCGTGCATCACTAAGATGCTCGTTAGTCCTAACTGTAAAACAAATTTCTTTTTTAACTCCTTTTCCTTACGTGCAACGCAGTTGTGGAACAGACTCCCTTTCCATATCCAGTCTAGACTGTCTATCTCTTCTTTCAAGAAAAGATTGAAAGCGCATTTTCTTGCTGAACTTTCTTAGTAGTCATCTTATTATATTTTTTTACATGCTTATTTAACGTATATATGTATATGTGTACCTATGTGTATATATTAGACTATCTACATATTAATGCTATTTATTATGATTCATTGTAATACTTATGTAAGTAATGGTATTTTTTTATGTTTTATTTATGTACTTTATTATATTTCTTCCGCATTCTCTCTTGCTCGCTATTGTCCGCTAATAACCATAGCTCTCACTGCCCTGAGTTGATTTGAAGAGATCTCTTTTAGAGATAAGTCCACCTTTGCTCACTTTCTGTTTATATAAAATTTCTGTTGTATTTATTTGGTGCAATAAAGAATATAAATTAATAATTTGTAGTTGTTACATGTGTGACTACTGTATTATATTTTTATAACATATTTGTGAAACAATGTGGCAAGCAATAAATATATAAATATGATAGTTTCACCTCTTAGACAGAGAATGTTACACAGTACTAATAGGATTATAAGTGCTATTACTTGCAGTTGCAATTCGTCCATACCTGCGATATTGTATCTTACTCATTACGTAATTGTAGATGCCTATTCACTCTAACCTTGAAAAGGTCCAAGTTATGGTGTTCAGGAAATAAGTCTGCAGGCAGGGAATTCCACTCCATAGTCGTTCGCTAAATAAGTGCGGAAGCGTTACGCAACATGCAAATCGTTGGATTATCCAAAACATAAGAGTGAAACCCCAGCCTACGTCTCGTCCCTCGATGATGGAAATGTATTCTACATTTCCAACTTTTCTACAATTCCACCAAAAATAAAATAAACTTGCATATTGCGAAAAAAAATCATTAAGAAAGAAGATATTCATAATATTAACCTTAGAACTAAATCCAAACTCATGGTGCAACGATTCTTTTATGGGGAACTGTATACAATAAGGTTACAATAAGATTTCGGAGCATATATATAAAGATTCTCATTTCCTAAGTTTAAAACTAAAAGTATTTTAATTGAAAAGTCATATTACAAAATTGATGAGTACCTATGTGTTAGATAAAAATGTATGGAAAGACAATATGAGTCTAGATTCCACACATTTATGATTCATTTTAAGTTTATTTGAAACGAGCAATCCCTAAAGTTTCTTGCTCGTTCTTTTCAGGGAGGTCAACGTAGTGAACGAGCAGTAACTTAAAAAACGACGCTTTCAATAAAAATTATACCTGTTGATTATATGATTATTTGACATTGACTTTGACTTTAAAAGCCACAAAAAGAATAAAGAAAATGCAAACACTATCTTTACACACCACGTAGTTTTGTCAAAAAATATGCGATTTCAGAATTAATTAAAAACGAAAACTTTTTACGATTACTTGTTTCAATACAATTCAGGTTTGTCATCCTACTTTTTACTGAACTGTCGCACTGTAGTGGATGATCATTCAAAAGTTTTCGGAAGTTCAAAATGGTGATCATTGGAAGTCTCCAAAACAACCTGAGATTTTGATGAAGAGGGATCATGGTCGTCATCTAGTTATTGTATTCTGCTGAACATAGCTCAACATATAAAACTTCCTCAAAACTCCTCTCTATTACAGAGAGGAGATAACGAGGAATCAAGTCATTTTCAAGCTATTATTCATGTTGATCGCCTTACAAAATTGAGTTGTTAATCAATTTTGCTGCAGCCGGGTATCGGCGGGCGGGCAAGGATATTGCATGTTAGTACACATTTCCCTTTCCTGCTGTTCGGTATTATGCTTATGATTCCACAACAACCACCTTGTAAGTCGATAACATTTGATTTGTAATTATCGATTCAACTCCCTTCTTTGATTTCTGCCTGACACTATTATTTTCTACGTGAGTACGGTCAACGGGGTGACTCCCTTTGAACTTAAGATTTAAATTGAATTTCATGTCATCTACGACATCTACAATATTATAGTTCAGCGTTCTGTTGATTTTGTTTATTAAATTTATGTCATTTTAAACACTGAACTGTGATTATTGACATCATTTTCAAATTTTCTCGTCACCTTTGACAAGAAAAAAAAAAATTGGTAGTCAAATTAAAACGTTGAAAACTGTAAACAGTTGTCTCGAGAGAAACATTACTATACTTTTCTCTTTTATTTTTTTAAACATGGTCAGGTGAGGAAGAATCGTTTTATAAAAATTATATACCGAATTTCTTGCTAACTGTGAACTTTATTATTGTAATTATACAAGCAAATGTTTCTCCGGAAATCAATCAACCTGTCACGAGTAACTAATTGCCAGGGCATGTCGTATCCACTAATTCGGGACGTGTCGACGCTTCAACGTCTTGCACTATCCGACGATTACTCTATTAAATCGCTTACAATGAATCGTTCCCCTTCACCACTATAAATAAAATTAATATCTCTGAAACTTACTTAGTGTCTTGTAAAAACAGATGTCTAGGTCACATCTGTTCCAGGCAACTAGCTTCAAATAGCAATTTGTATTTACAGTTTCAAAGCAAATTTAAAGTAAAACCTTCTCTTAAATCGAAAATATGTTTGAAGGATTTGGTTGCTCATCCGTTTTTTACACTTCCCTTTCGTATGTCGTAAAATGTTCAACCAGTAAAGCACCTGGGGTACTTTAAACGTACTAAGCTGGCAGATTTAGAGGTTTCGCGGTAAAAGCAAAGTTGCACTATGTTAAAAACTTACCAACATGACTCTTGGTCACACTACGTGAAAATTTACTGACTGGAATAGCGTGAAAAGGAATTTATGTTACTAAGTTTCCGATTCCAGTTTTTATTATTACTGCATTTCATTTTGAATTATTTTTGTTTTTTTATTGTTCACAGAGAAACAAGGATTTCTTCAGCAGCCGCGTTAGCTGGAGGAACTGAACGGCCTGAACCTGCATTGACAGCTTCATTTGCACTTTTGAACCTTGTCCCTGGACCTGAAGGTGGAAATTTATGGCGGCAAGTAGGAAGAGTATATGGTCGAAGCGTTAGACTCCACACTATAGTCTGGCCTGGTGGACGCCTCGTTGCCCACGGACAGTCAGCTGGAGCACGTACCATATTCCGCATCGTCACGGCCTTAGCACCCCCCTTTGTTATGGAAGGCGAGCTGGATGAAGATGGACAATGTCTCAGAGGGCTTCCGTGTCATAGACCCCAAACGTCGGACAGAGATAATCTAACCCTTGCTTTCAATGAGTTAGAAAGAGAAGGAGACCAAGAAGAAGTAAATGATTTTTTCTTCCCAACTCCCGAGCCAACAACATTTTCAAGAATGGCAACACACTGTTGTTACGGACTAGCTATGGATCTCTTAGAAAACATTGCACAAGAACTTGAGTTTGATTTTCATTTGTACATAGTTGAAGATGGTCTTTATGGATCGAGAAAATTAGTCAAACCATTTCGAAAGCTAAGTGAATATCAAAGCGTTGCGAACGAGTTTTTAATGAGTCAACAGATAGATCAGACTTATCGCTCACAATATCGTAACGGGAAATTGAGTGACGAAGAGAACGAGAAATTGTATGAAAAATTATATCTAAATAGCGAAGCAGATGAAGACACTGAGAAATGGAATGGAGTTATTGGCGATTTAGTTTCTGGAGCTGCTCATATGTCTTTTGCTGCTCTGAGTGTTTCAGCTGCCAGAGCGGAAGTGGTCGAGTTTAGTCAGCCATATTTCTTTAGTGGCGTTTCAATACTAGCTGCCCCAAACCAAAAGCCTGATATCCCGCTACTTGCATTTTTATTACCGTTTTCACCAGAGCTATGGATAGCAATATTTACTTCGCTCAATGTGACAGCAATAGCTGTAGCTATATACGAGTGGTTGTCGCCTTTTGGTTTGAACCCTTGGGGAAGACAGAGGTCGAAGAACTTCAGCATCGCAAGTGCCCTGTGGGTGATGTGGGGACTACTATGTGGCCACTTAGTTGCCTTCAAAGCGCCCAAGAGCTGGCCTAACAAGTTTCTAATAAACGTGTGGGGTGGCTTTTCTGTGATATTTGTCGCCAGTTACACTGCCAATATTGCCGCCCTTATAGCTGGATTGTTTTTTCACAATGCAGTTGATGATTATCAAGGTAGAAGTAATGTGAGTTTGTAATCATTATTATTGACAATTTTAATACTTACTATAATTCACTCCCTTGGGGTAGAAAACTCTTTCATAGAAAAACAATACCGCTTAAAAGAAATCCGAGACGAAAAATATACGAAGGTACCTGTTTATTCTGCCTGGTTATATGCAAATACCTTCGGGGTCCTGGTAATGGGAATAATGTTCCCATAATTATTATTACTCCACGTCAACTGTTTTTGTGCTTCGTCCTACCTCCATAATTCATAATCACCGTTGTTGCTGTTAATGGTTATAGGGGTGTGAGAAACGGAATAACTGTGCAACAACTTAGCATTGTAATGAGTGCGTGAAACCTTCGTTAGGATGAAATAAATTCACAATTAACGTATAAATTTTGAATTCATTTTTAGATTTTTCTTCAGTTACCAAACAATACAATAAAAACACGTTCGTATCAACCGGTTTTAAAATCAAAGTTCTCTGAAGAAGCAAGCGTATAGCGTATTTCAGGGAACTTCGATTTTAAAACCGAGTGATACTTCATTCCACGCTTTAAGATTAACGATAATTTCAGTGGCTATCCCAGCGAGTGGGAACAGCGAGGTCATCAATAGCGGAGTACTACGTGCAAAGGAATAATCCGCAGCTAGCACAGCATATGCGCCGTCACGCCTTACAGGATATTGAAGAGGGTATTCAGAGGTTGAGGTAAAGATTTATTGTTGCTCATTAATGCTGTAGTTATTAGAGTTACGTTAGAAGGTAAAAACAATTGCAAAGTTGAAGCAACGTAAAACTACCTTTAAAAAAGACTTTACTGGCTGAGAGCCAATAAAGGTTTTCGCGTTTGTTGCACATAGGATATTTCCTAACTATTTTTTCGGGGAAAAAACAAACTATTTAACACATCGGAAATAAAACTATTTTTTTTATTTTATATTACAAAACGTTGGTTTGTTTAAAAAACAAATAATATACGCGATTAAGATCCGAAAAAGTGATTAGCACTAGGAAGTTTTATGACAATAAAACCTTGAGTGAAGAAATAGATTTGTTACAGATGGCGTTACGGCAAAAAATTCGTTAAAAAACCAAAATAAGATCTGCAACAAGCACATAGAAAAATTCGTAAGGTCCGCTGGTTTGTTCCGTGGCTTAGTTGGCATAACATCTGGCACGGTTTGCTGGAAGACGTTGGTTCGAATCTAGCCGGATCGAAGGATTTTTTCTAAGTGTTCGATCTTTGTATTAATATTTGTAATAAGAACTTGTTATGGAAACTAACCACTTCCGGAACACAGAAATATTGATAGATACTAAAAAATTTAGAAATCTCAAGCAAGTGCATACCACATCCATCTTAGGTCAGATGAACGTTAATATCAACCGAAAAATTTAAGAAATAGTGATTCTATTCAAGAAAATCGCCTTCTGGTACTCAGGAGTATCTACCGACGATGTTTATACGACCCATTAGCTCGAAGTACTTTGCTTCCTACTTCCCACCCTCCCTACCATAGTATGTAAGACTAGTAGTGTAACTCCATAGAAACGAAACAGCGGCGTGGCCGATATGTGTGCGCGGCCGCCGCGCGCCAAGTACGGCAGCACACGTTCGCATAATCTCGCGATGCACTCGCAATGCACAACGCGATTTATGGCATGCGCCTTTTTTTTACTACTCCGGCACTAGGGAAACCTAGTATCACGGGTGCCAGGGGCACACACAACCACAAATTACACAAACTCACCAGAAAAATAAATGTAAGCCGTACATGTATTTCTCCCGGCCCGGGAATCGAACCCAGGACCTCTGCGTGGCAAACCTGCATGGATATTGTTCGGCCACGAAGGTAGTAAGCCATTTAATATAGAATTCAATCATCCGCTCGGCGTTTAAAAACTGACATCAAATAGTAGACATATTTATTGTTGTGTTTATGGTAGTTTAAACAAGACTGCTTTAAATTTGAATTTTAAATTTAATTTCTATTTGATAATTATACCACCATAATCGAGATACCAATTCGCGATACTGGTACAAAAATATCAATATGTAAGTACTGCATTTGACAAACGTCATTTTAGTACAGCACGAGCATACTGAGACGAATACCTTAATTTTTTCTAATTATATTTACAATCAATGTGACAACCCTATACTCCGAGAACCATGATGGCATTCACGCCCCGAACAGGTGGGGAGTTGCACTACTTTATACTAGGGCTCCATTATGTTTTC